GATACCTAAGTGGAAGTTCAAAAACTCACCTAACTGAGTCAATCTGTCGAATTTGCTCGAGAGCCTGATCCGGCCGAGCTAAGTTGAGATCTGTCACAGATACCAGTCGAAGTTGGTTTATGGTCCAGGTGAACAGTTCATCAGGCATTGTGTAGCCTTGGTAGAAACGTGTCAATCGGACACGATATTGCGCAGCACGTTGGCTCTCCAATTCTTCAAAACAAGCCTGTCTTTCAGCCTCTAGTCAAAACAAGGAGTGTACGAGTAGAAGTTTTAGAGCATGTGGGGATGGCAATTGAAATGAGGCAGACAATAATTGCAAGCAATACAATTTACGAGGTTATCCTCCTCAGAGAAATAGAATGATGCTTGTAAAACTGTCAACAATTCTTGAATAAGTATTCGGTCATCATAGGTTGCTAAGGCTGATTTGAACAAATGAAAGTAGGGCTTTCCCCGTGAAATAAGTAGGTCTCATAACGTAAGTGAAATTCAGTTAACTTCGTCTCCCAAAAGCCTTTCTCATTTGGGTTGAATTGGACAGCAGGCTTGACCTCGCCTGGGCTTCAGCATTATGCACTATCATGGTTCGAAACCAGATCGTGAGCATAATGGCATCACGTTTCCACTATGCTATGTAACCATGGTTGCCAGTCGGTCAGAGGACAGATATAAATTTCAAGAAAACTTAAGCATCTTCATGATCAGAGTGTAATGAAATAAAGAGACATTAAGTGGTCATTCTAAAATAAAAAAAGCTTGATATTCTAGAATAGATATCCAAATTAGGGCAACGATCGACCACGCGGATCGCAGATATGAAAGTGAAGATGGTTTAGTCGCAGCCTTCATTCGTCGTAGTGAGTTGGCCAGACTATATTTTCATATTTTAATCGAAGATATGAAGACCAAGATGGTGTGGCATTTTGTGTGGTCGCAGTCTCCTTTCGTTGTGTAGACGTTGTTTGACTTTGTTTTCGCAACATGGTCATATTGATAGAAAGAATCAGAGGAACACACCTAGTTCGGAGTCCATTGTGTGCATGATCATTTCCAAAGTCGGACCGTAGAAGTGGTACATTTCCAGACGTTTCGCCCTCCCCTGCGTCTGGGTGACTAATTCAAGGCGCAAGCCTTTGCTACATGTACCACGTCTCTGGTACAGCAGACCTACCGTCAGCCAAATAGCTCCGGTCCCCGCCGTGTCTATCCTGTTTCTATCCCTAAAACCAAGTCTATGGCTTGCCATTCCCTAGTTGCTTGTGTGCCAACCCATAAATGTTGTGGTACTGTTGGCTTTGATTAGGTTCAATGCTGAACCACAACGTTTGTCGGTTGGCACACAAGAGACTATGGCATAGCAAGTCATAAACTTGGTATTATAGATAGAAAGAGGATAAAAACAGTGGAAGCTAGAGCTAGTTGGGTAACAATAGTCGTGATTCAAGGATTACTTCTATGATCAAACACGTCTATTGCTAGCAAAATAGCTTTAGTCTCCACCGCGTCTTTCCTGTTTCTAACTGTAATACCATGACTATCTCTTCTTATGTCCTAGTCTCTTGTGTGCCAACCCACAAATGTCGTGGTTCTATTTGTTTTGATCAGGCTCATTGAAGACGTCTTCTCTTTGCTTCTGATTGTTCCTTTCTCATCCCCCTGCGATCTCTTTTCCTAAAAGTAAGGATATTACCTCGATCCAGTCGTTTTCTTTTTGCTGATCTTGCTGTTGCCTGGTCTTCTACGATTTTATTTAGGCAATATGCAAATTTTTCGCTGATCCTGCCTTCTTAAAGTCTTCTGTTCATTAGATTTCTCTCGATCAGTACTTCGATGGAATCTCGAAAATCTTGCGTTTTCTTGTATTTTCACAATATGCAACCAAACTTTAGGTCGATTTCCAGTTTATTTCGTGCCCCGTTCGTGCAATGTGTTCCACTATTTCAGATATGAGTCGGCATACAAAAGACTAGGGCATGGCAAGTCATAGACTTGCTATTAAGGATAGAGACATGATATAGACGGTGGGGACCGAAGCTAGTTGGTTGACGCTAGGTCTGTTGTACCAGATACGTGGTACATGTAGCAAAGGGGTGACCATGACACTCAGAGGCTTACGCCTCGAATTAGTCACCCAGACGCAGGGGAGGGCGAATGACGCCTCAAGTGGGACAGATGTGGTGGCAGGACTCGAGTGAAATAGGTGAACGAGGGAGAGAGCAGACGGATTTTACGGAGCAAGAGAGACTGGGATAAGACTAGGAAGGAGGACTGCACAATAATCAGGCAGACTCTGATCAACATTGCCTGCACAAGGATGAAGGGGGGTGAGAACGACAGTGTGAAGTTTTCATGTCGCTCAAAGGAGCACACCACACTATATCGAAATAAACACAGAAAAATTGTAATGGTGAAGGCATGATAGGATGCTACCGGAAACGTGAATAACCCAGTACAGAATGGGAGATACCAAAATTGTTTAGCACACGTTTGCTCAATGGATAGGCTTCACTTGTCTCTTTGACGAGTTGTTGTATGGTGCTAAGAATGGGGAGACTCACTGACGATGTCGGCAAAACGTTTGGGAATGTACCACGTCCACGGTTCAACTTTGGAAATGATCATGCACACAATGGACTCCGGAC